ATTCAACCTTATTTGGGATTGACATCTTCCAAATTACAACCACTTCTGGAGCTGTTAAAAGGCGACTCAGACATTTCTGCACCACAAGTTCTAACTCCAGAAGCAAAACAGGTGATTGAAGAAGTAGAACAGGCAATCATACAGAAACATGTCTGGAGAATTGATTTAACTGTATCAGTGCAAGTGTGTGTTTTGATAGATGATCTGATCTTACAGGTCCCTTCCAACCCAAATCATTCTATGATTCTATGATACCTTTTGCAATGCTAGCACAGTGGAATTCTGATTGGCAAGATCCTTCGCATGTTTTGGAATAGGCCTTTTTGCCTTTTAAAACAAAAAAACTGCTCCTGGACTTTTTGAACTTTGAACTCAAATTATTATGAGAACTAGAGCTCGTTGTGTAGAATTGTTGGCAAGAGAGCCTGAAAACATTGTGATACCAGTACAAAATGAATATTTTGAATGGAGCCTTGCCAACAGTTCAGCACTTCAAGCAGCAAAGACAAATTATACAGGTCAAATTAGTTATCACTTGCCTTCACATCCATTAATAAAAATGGGTAGTCAAATTCGATCTGCACAAAAGCAATTAAGTCAATCTGACCCTGTGCTTGGTCCCACAGTGTTCACTGACAGTTCAGGAAAAACAGGGAAGGCTCCTATCGTCTGGTATGATGGACATCAATGGCAAAATAGAGTGGAATACCAAGAAGGCTCTCCTCAAATTGTTGAATTGAGAGCTATGACTATGGTATTTCAGCAATTTTCTTGTTCTGTAAACATTGTTACTGATTCAGCCTATGTGGCTGGGTTAGTGCAACGGTTAGACAAAGCTTTCCTTGGCCATGTTACCCAGGAAAAACTTTTTGGAATTTTAAAATTATTGTGGACAGAAATTCAAAAGCGACACTCTCCTTATTATGTATTGCATATTAAAAGTCATACAACCCTTCCTGGTTTTTTGGTGGAAGGAAATGCAAGAGCAGATGCATTAGTATCAGGTGTAACAATGGGACCTACTCCAAATATTAAACAACAAGCTATTGCTTCTCATCAATTTTTCCATCAAAGCTATCGTGCCCTGAAATGACGATTTCACTTGTCAAATGCTGAGGCTCGTGCTATTGTTGCCGCGTGCCCTGACTGTCAAGGCCAACATGTTCTTCTTTACTATGGGACCAACCCTAGAGGGTTGTAGGCCCTCCAAATTTGGCAAACAGATGTTACTCATATTGCTGAGTTTGGCAGATTGAAATTTGTTCATGTATCTATTGATATGTTCTCCTCAGTCATCATTGCTACTGCTCAGGCAGGAGAAACTGCCAAAGATGTCATTCACCATTGGCAATGGGCTTTTTCTACTGCTGGAGTCCCGCATCAGACAAAAATGGATAATGGTCCAGCTTATTTATCTCAAAAGGTTAATTATTTTTTACAGCTGTGAGGTTTGACTCATGTTACTGGTATCCCTCAATTCTTCCACTAGACAAGGTATTGTCAAACGTGCTCATTGCACATTAAAACAGCTTCTGCAAAAACAAAAAGGGGGAATGGTAGGACATCCTCCAGAAGCTCGATTGAACAAAGCTATGTATGTCTTGAATTTTTTACAGGTTTCTGATGATTCTCAGAAACCTCCGATAATACATCATTTTGGCTCATTAACCACCACCTGCGGGATGTCCCTAGGAGGCAAAGTTAGGGTTCGAGATCTACAGACAGGTCAGTGGTCTGATCCCTGTAATCTGCTAACCCGGGGACGAGCGTATGCTTGTGTTTCCACAGATGCTGGTCCGCTCTGGGTTCCTGCTCGATGTGTGTGACCTGTATTGTCTCCTGGTGAGGCTGTCACTGTATGTCGAGAGCACCCTGGAGATATGGAAAATACCGAAGCAACCCAGAACAAACGTATGGATTACCTTGGCTAAGGCAATAGGACAGGATACCTTGTGTCTATCAACTGCTTCTCCAGAGAATTTTTCCACCTGTCTTGTGGGAATGCCTTTGTCTGAAGCTGAATGGGATGGCTTGTATAATGCCACAGTTCCAATTAATTGTACTTCTCCAGGACGTTTGTAACCTCTTTGGTGGTGCCGAGAATCACGGAGACAAAACTCCATCGGTAAGGCAGGGTGGTATAGAGGTAAGCTCAATGACATGAATAATTTCCCTGCAATGTCCACGGAACCTCAAGAGTTAGACCTTTTGGGAAGTTTACCATCTCGATTTTGTTTGTTTTTTAATTATACCAGTGGGTGCAATTTGAACAAGGCTGGGATTGATGTGTCACCTAGTGTTGGTATATATTGGAATCAGTCAGCCTGGTGTAATGCAACATTACCAAAACAATTGGCATTAGGGGACAGTACTGTGTGGCTGCCCAGAAATATTTCTCTGTTATGTGGCTACCAAGCCTGGAAGGGCATTCAAAAACTGGTGGACCATGTAGCTTTGGAAAGCTTACGTTGCTAACTCCCAGCCTCACGATAATTCACAATAAAAAGGAGCAGGTAAAACGAAACATTCGTCAATTTGAATCTGGCTGTAATGACCAGGTCACCTTTTGGGGCCTGGAGAAATTATAGTAGCATTGGCATCAGCACCTGGAGTTGCAGCAGCAGCAGCCTTAAAGAAGTTAAACTTGGGATGTTGGCTAAGTGAGCAAACCAATGCTACATCAATAGCATTGAGTAATTTATTAACTGATGTAGGTAGTGTTAAGGCATGCTACACTGCAAAATAGAGCTGCGATTGATTTTTTTATTGTTAGCACAAGGACATGGATGTGAAGATTTTGAAGGAATGTGCTGTATGAATTTGTCTAATCACTCAGAATCAATACACAGAAGCATACAGCTCCTGAAAGATGGAGTTAAGAAATTGCAAACAGATGATGGATGGGATTGGTTAAATAAATTGTTCAGGGGATGGGGATTGTCTGGTTGGTTGTTATCATTGCTGAAAACAGGATTGTTAATTCTAATTATTGTTGTAGTTGTGTTACTAATGTTGCCCTGTCTGGTCAGTTTGTTGCAAAGGGCCCTGCAGCAAACTGTCCAAGTGATTTTTGTAGCACAAATACAAAAAGGGGGATTGTGGGAAACTACGGCAGGTCCATGGATCCCAGGACAGAAGAGAAAGAAATTGACCTTGGAGAAATTGCTGAATACTCCCTGAGAGCTGGATACTCCCTGAACAGAAGAAACAGAAACAACTTGCAGGCGCTGGGAAAGTCAGGAAACCGTAAGATAAAAAGGAATTGCAAGATAAGTCCTCGGACTAGTTTCTACGCTAACTGCCTGCTGTAATGAATTTGGCTTAGAGTGTACAGAACGCGTGATCACCAAACGTTCACCCATCACGTATTAAGCTACGGCGCGTGGATGGCTGTAGTTAACCAATCCCCTAACTGCTTATGTCGCGTGCACTGCTAGAAATTGTATAAAAGGGTATGGAAAACCTGCAATAAAGGCTTACGCTGATGAATTCTGCTTGAACCTGTGTCTGTCATGGCCGTCTCAACAGTGCTGTACAGTGACAAAGAAACTCAACTACGTCTTGCTATGTGCTGGAACTAAAAAGACCATTTAAGTAATTTAATGATACAAAACTCATAGTATGACTACTTCAGAGTTTTAGTCTGATAGACAGGATATTAGAAAGTGTTTACACAGTGTTTCAGCTTTTTAATGACCTAGTGTTTTTAGTGACCTACTGTTAACAGACCCATCATACTTAGTCTTTGATGACCTTCAAGAGATAAGCAATATATCTATGCTTTTACCTTGGCTCTATTTAAACTTACTGTAGACAAAGCCAGTAGAAGCTTAATCAAATCTATCTAGACTGAGAAATATTAATTCATAATTTACTGGTTTATTTGCATTCTGCTAATACCATATGCAAGAATAAGAAACATACAATAATTCCAACTGAACTCATTGGCACAAATCTCCAAAAGTAACCTGTGCTTTTTTTTTTTTCTTTCTATTTTACTCTTAGAACCATCAGCGAGGCTGTAACACCATGTGCAGAAGTTTGCTAGGCAGTGCTCCTCTGTCTGAGCATACGCAGACCCTTTTTTGATTACATATACTGTGACTGTACAGATCAAATCGTGCATGAAAACCTGCAGTCACTCAACAATACATCCTTTCAGAAAACCAATACAACTAAAGCATCTAATACAACTGAATTACAAATAATATTCAATTGTAAGAAAAGCAGCAACTGTGGCAAAGAACACTTGGTGCTTGCATTTTTTAAAAGTCACAACCACCAGTTACTGCTAGCTGACATTTTCGCCAGATGATTTCCTCTAATACTAAAGGCATAAAAGTCAAATTTATCATAGAATAATGCAACTATTAATCTGCTTCAAGTTTCAAAATTTAGTCACTTCCTTAACAGGAGGAAGAAAACACCCCCCAAAACCAAAACCTATTATATCAGATTCTGAAGCGTAAGATGAATTTACATCAACTGAAGAATACACCTCTCTATTCAATATAATCTCAATAATTGACATGAACAATCTGACCTTCAAATGCACTTCATATAATTTATTAGCTTGCTACAGGCACTACAGACATGTTCTCTTTCTAGACCCCAGAATATTGCACAATTAAAACCAACTAGTTTATCTCCATTAGTAAGATGGTAAAGTATCAGAAAGTGACCTATGAAAGTTTTTAAAAAGCAAAATCAAATACACACAGAAACACCTTTAAGTTAAAGACACAGTCTTTTTTTATACGAATTGAGTG